AGAGAGAAACATTGATCAGCTGCCCCCTGCACACCTCCCACTGGGGATGTGCCCGCAACCAAGGCACATGCCCTTGGCAGGAATCGAACCCAGGACCTTTCAATCCGCAGGCCGACGCTCCATCCACTGAGCCAAACCGGTCAGGGCAAGAACTGAAATTCTTGCTTCACATAATATTCTGAGACCCAGCCACATTATGGTTATCCATTGATCAGTTGACATTAGGATTGTTTTCACTTTAACTGTATGAATAACTCAGTATGAACATTTGTGTCCGAGTTTTTGCAGACATGTTTTTATTTCTCTAAGAGTGTAATTGTGGGCTATGTGATACCTGTTGAAACTTTGAGAAACTGCCAATCTGTTTTCCAAAGTGGCTGCTCCACTTTACAATCTCATCATCAATATATTAAGAGTTCCAACTTCTCCACATCTTTGTTATCATCTTTGAAAATTAATAGAAACCTGATAGGGCTATTAAGGCAACTAAATAGGTTTATAAATGTAAAGCCCATATTTGGCCTCTAATGTTTTATGGGATTCAGTTAGGTTATGTTTTTTAAAAATAAACATATCAAAAACTTTACCATTGAGGGATGCCATTAAAAAAAGGGGGGGGGGTGTGTGGAAGCCACTGATGGAAATACTAGGAGCAAAGATTCTCAAGGTTTGGGACCTTTTATCAAATCTAATGTCTTTCAAGCCATTAGAGGGTGGTAAAATCAATTTAGTGGGTTGGAAAATTTACTAGCATTGGAAAAAATAGAATAGAAAACATCAGAGTACATCACAAGCAGTAAGTGCTTTTTCGTGAAATATGGTTTTACTGCTAGAGGCCTGAACCAGGTCACAGTGTTAAAATGTATCTTTTATGTATATGTATATATATATGTATTATTGATTTCAGAGAGAGAGGGAGAGAAACAATGATGAGATAGAATCATCAATCAGCTGCCTCCTACGTGCCCCCCTGCGGATTGAACCCACAACCCGGGCATGTGCCCTTGACTGGAATTGAACCAGGACCCTTCAGTCTGCAGGCCGATGCTCTATCCACTGAGCAAAACCAGCTAGGGCAAAATGTTTTTTTTTTTTCTTTTAAATATACTTTTATTGATTTAAGAGAGGAAGGGAGAGGGAGAGAGAGATAGAAACATCAATGATGAGAGAGAATCATTGATTGGCTGCCTCCTGCACGCCTCCTACTGGTATCTAGCCCACAACCTGGGCACGTGCTCTTGACCAGAATTGAACCCGGGACCCTTCAGTCCGAAGGCTGATGCTCTATCCACCGAGCCAAACCAGCTAGGACGCAAAAATGTATTTTTTAATGTGGGTCACAGTCAAAGAAGCTCCTGAAGTCCAACTACCACTTGCTGTTTGAATCCAATCCACATCTGTATCTGTAGGACTGTCAGTTTCTGATTTAAGACATTCCAGCTATCATTTTGGATATTTTGCTGAGAAGCTTTTCTTCAAAATAATGAAAAACAGAACATAAAAAATGCTTTGTCTCAATCTGTTGTTTTAAATCTTTTGGAAAATGAAGCATGCTGAAAGAATTTTCTTGTATGTGTTGCAGCATTAGAAACATCATTACTCAGAGGCTCATCACTGGCTTTGAAGGTAGTCACTCATAAGTGAACTACCATTATCATTAATAATATGTGTGAGTATCAACACACCAACTGAGTAGGGCAGTTTTAAGGTCTGTAAATACTACTAAAAATATTAACTTATAATCATAGTGGCAGAAGCCTTAGTGTGTATGACCATATTTTACAACCGAATTAGCTATGATCTTAAAAACAAAGTACAAAACTTAAAAAAAGCGGGTTAACCTTCAAAAATGAAAAATTGCAATTCATACTTTGAAAAGTCAAATTATGTCCATCATGGCTGCTGACTGTTTAAACACAACCTAAAAGAAAATTAGGGTAGTGACACCAGGTTGAGAAATGTCTACTACATACGCAGAATGAAATCTCAAATCAGGCCGTTAACATAGCATGCATGCCATGATCTTTCCAATATCCTGATGTACAGTTGGCTTTCTATATCTTTGAGTTTATCATCTGTAGATTCAACCAATCACAGATTGTAATATTAAAAAGTTAGGTTGTGGCTGATGTGTACTATGTAGTTAGGGCTACAAAGGCTGGGTCTGTACTGATCGTGTCACTTCTTCCTTGTATTATTCCCTAAATAACACAGTATAACAACTCTGCATAGTACTTACATTGTCTTAGGTATCATAAGTAATCTACAGATGATTTAAAGTTTGCATGGATATGCATAGGTTATGTGCAAATATGCCATTTTATATTAGGGATTTGAGCATTGCAGACTTTGGTGTCCATGGAGGTGGGGGAAGGTATCCGGGAACCAACTCCCCCAAGGATACAGAGAAGACTATCATATAAACTCGTCATTACAATGATTTTTTAAATATATTTTTTATTGATTTCAGAGGACGGGAGAGATAGAAACATCAATGATGAGAACCCAGTTAACATGGACTTGTGCCCTGACTGGAATTGAACTGTGATGTCCTGGTTCATAGGTCCATAGGTCAACGCTCAACCACTGAGCCATGCCAGCTGGGCTACAGTGATTTTTTTAATGGTCCCTGTATGAGATTTTTGAGGGCATGAATTTCCCACAGTAACTTACCTACTTGGCTTTCAATATTTGCTGAATTTATTTTATTCAAATAGATTAATTGCTATGTGTTAAGCTCTATGAAGTTCTAGGAACTTAAAAATGAAGAGAGTTCCTAATCTTACCGGTTTCAAACTTAGAGGGGAGACAAACATTTACAGTAGTGTGATATGGAGCAGCACTACATTGTCTAGCAGATAAAAGCTGGCTAATGTCCAAGATGTGTTTTAAGGGATGACTTTGAAAGGTGAGCAAGAGGGGAAGAATATTACTGGGTGAGGAAACTCACATAAGGCACATGTAAAGGGGAAAAGTGCGGGACGATACAGGGGAGGGGCAAAAGTAGGTCTACACTTGTTTGTATGGAAAATAATACAATAAAATAATACAAGAATAAACTTGTTTTGCAGTCATAACTGTAAACCTACTTTTGCCCACCCCTGCAGAGATGGGTTGATACCTAAGATTCTTATGCTATGTTAAGTAGTTTATATTTTATCTAATATACAAAACAAGACCAGTGAAGGTTGTAAGCAGGGAGAAGACATGGTCAGATTAGTTTTGAATGGAATAAGTAAGAGACTAGTTGGGAAGTAGGTTGAGCTATAAATTGAAGGCCTTAAAAAGGGGTAGGGCACTGAACAAATGTTTGAGTATACACTACTATACAGGTATTGGGAAAATAGTTCCTCTATTAAAAAAGGACTTACATTTCAGCAGGTTAGATAGACACTAATATAAGAATTTAGGAGAACTATGGATGTGTTAGGAAAAAATTCCCTGAGAAAGTGACACTAAAGTTGAGACCTGAAGGAAAAAATAAGATTTTAAAGATTGAGACTAATTTGAAGTACTTATTCCTATATACCCCTCTGAAAGAGAACTAATTGCCCACACTGTAAATCTAACAAAGAACCTAAATGTTTATTAAAAAGTTAATGTGATGAGGACAAGATTAAGTCTTTCTTGTCTATTCTCCCATAGTACCTTATCTATAACAATAAGTGTAATATGCTAATTAGACCAGATGTCTTTCTGGATGAAGCCAGGGCTGCAAGGGAAGCCCAGGTCCCGGGTGCCAGAGGTAAGCCAGTGCCTGTAGCTGGGGAAGGAAGGCCTACTCTTGCGCAAATTTTGTGCATCAGGCCTCTAGTCTATATAATAAAGCCTAAACGACCATTATGGCAGAATGACCAGAATGACTGGTCACTATGATGCGCACTGACCACCAGGGGGCAGATGCTCAACACAGGAGCTGCCCCCTGGTGGTCAGTGAGCTCCCACAGGGGGAGCGCCGCTCAGTCAGAAGCCTGGCTCATGGCTGGCGAGCGCAGTGGTGGTGGCGGGAGCCTCTCTTGCCTCCGTGGCAGTGCTAAGGAGCAGCGAGCAGGCGGGCTGTAAGGAGCGAGGGGTCTGGGACTGCAAGAGCACAGGCTGGGCTGAGGGACCGCCCCCCCACCCACCCAGTGCACAAATTTTGTGCACCAGGCCTCTAGTATTTGTATAATTTACACTGTGTTGACAATTCGGAAGAGGACCAAATGAAAGAAAGGCCAGATTAAAACATATTTATATATATATTTTTTATTGATTTCAGAGAGGAAGGGTGAGGGAGATAGAAACATCAATGATGAGAGAGAATCATTGATTGGCTGCCTCCTGCACACCCCCTACTGGGGATGGAACCATGACCTCCTGGTTCATAGGTCGATGCTCAACTACTGAGCCACAATAGCCAGGCAAAAGGTCAGATTTAAGAGCCAAGAAAGAGATACTACCAAAGAAAAGGGGGAGATAAAAAGATTAAATAATTAAAAATGGCAAATGCCTTAGAATGTTGAAAGGCTCAGAATTGTCCATTTAACACAATAATTTGGAGGTCCCTCTTAACATGTAATTTCAGTGAGAAAAGCACAGTAAGTGAAAACGAGACTTCCTGTAAAAGAAGCTTGGTTGAGAAGTAATGCTGCATGAGGGCTTTTTTGTTTGTTCTTGTTTTTATTTACTAAGGAAGGAAGAGAGCAGAGGGTTTTCAATATCCTTGTTTGAAGGAAAATGCCACTTGTTGAAACATTACTCTGGACACGTGGTTTTATAACTTGTGTTGGTACGTCCTCTAGATTCCTGCATATATATAAAAGAATGTTAATACATTTTCACTTATCACCAGGAAAGAACATGAGATGCATAAACACGCTTAACATTTATGCTTTGGAGAAGGTGTCAATCTGTAAGGTATGAACCAATCACTTCTGGTCATTTCTTCCAGCCTATGACTAAGAGAGATGAGGAATACCTTATTTCTTTTTTTCCCCAAAGAAAGAAGTCAGAGAGACAAGTAACATTTAAAACATTTTATTATTTAAGACATTATCACTGGCACATTCCAGTGATGCTTTTACATGCCAAGATTATTTGTAATCATGAATGTCCCTGATAACTAAGAGGACAGTCAAGCACCAATATACTCCTTAGAGGCCTACTGGTGCTGTATTTTGCTTACCAGTTTTTAGGTTAAATCCCTTCTCACCACGTTATTTTCTGTGTGCTGATTACTACGCTACCCCTAACAATCAGTTCATGTCTTCCTCCAAGGCATAGCAACCTGTCAGTCTCTTCATTTTCTCTTCTCTGCTGTGTCTTGCTGGGGTGGTGTAATAAAGTTGCAGCTTGAAACAAACAAACAAACAAACAAACAATACCTAAAGTAAAATGACTTGCCAACACAAGATCTCTCTGCAATACATAGGAACGAAAAATTAAAAACAAAGTGGTAAAAGTAATAAATAGTTCTTTTCAAACGTAACTTTCAGATACCAGGTCAGAGGGATGGAAACCGAAAATCCCTAATGCTTACCGGTTGGTTCAATGTACTTTTTGTGTGTGTTTGTTAAAAATCAGTTTCCACCACGACAAAGGAAGGATTGCACGCTACTTTCTAATGGTATTTGTTCTGTTTTGGTGCCCTTGAAAAGGGTGGAAAACCATTTTTATGAAACACCAACTCAAAAGCCCTCTGATGACTTAGTGGTAACAACCGCTACGCTTGACTCGTACCACACATTCCTGGATATAAGAGGAATTTAAAACATCAGATAATTTCCCACGTGTAACTTCTCCGACGTTTAACACCCCAGCCTGTGGCTTCAAGTCACTGCCTGTGCATGCTCTTCTCCACCAGGACTGCCCTTTCGGGTCGAGCTCAGCGCTCTCGCTGTAACGGGAGAACTCGGCATTGATGAGGCCGAAGAGGGGCGGCCCGGCGTCGCGCGACGCTCACCCCCTCCCAGCCCACCGCGCCTGGCCTCTCCTCCCGGTCGGGTGTTTTCTGGCCTCACCTGGGCTGCAAACCCCGTGCCGCCCCCCAGGCGGACACCTGTCAGCCGCGGGCAGTCCTGGCCCTCCGGGATGTGGTGGGGGTGGGGATGGCAGCCCGGCCCCTGCCCCGCCGGCCCACAGGCCCCTCGTCCCCTAACACGCGGGCTGCCCAGGGGGCAGGAGACCCGGGCAGGAGCCCAGACCCCGACCCCGGGCTGGCCCCGCTGCCCCGCGATCGGCTGAGACGAGCCCTTTCACCTGGAGCCGATCCAGACGTCCGCAGGGTCCGCCCGGCTCCGGCCGGCTCGCCGGGGCAGAGAAGGTCAAGCTCACCTTGAGGGAGTGCGCGCCCGACCGCGGCCACAGTACCCAGGCCGCGCAGCACGGTGTCCCCAGGTCAGGAGAGGACAGCGCCGGCCGCGGGCCCCGCCCCTTTCCCGGCAGGCCGCCGACTTCCGGACCTGCGCGCCGCCCCTCTGCGCCGCCGGCCGCCCCTCCCCCGCCCGCCGACTCCCGGCATGCTCCGCGGAGGAAGGAACGGAGTCGACAATAACAAACCCAGCCGCGGCCGTGTCCGCGGCCCTGCCGACCCCTCGGCGCTGCCTCAGGCTCCTCCCGTCGCCCCGGCCCCTCGGCTCTGACGGGCCGCGGCCCCCTTCCCCCCGGCCCCCGACGCAGAGCCGAGGGGCCTGACCGCGTCCCTCCTCCGCCCGGACCCCTCCCTCCCGCCCGGAGTTCGGGGCCGCGGCCGGCACCGGGACGCCGGCGATCGTGTCGGTTGGCAGAGCCGGATGGGCGGTTGGTAGCCGCCGCCGAGGACGAGGCGGCGGCGGAAGATGGTGCCAGGGGCTGCCGGCTCTGCTGCTGCCGCCGACGGAGGAGGTGCTGCCAGGTGGGTGCCGGCGCCGCCCGCGTCCTCTTCCCCCATCTGGCGCCGCGGCCGCGCTGGGCCCGGGCGCCGGGGTCCGGCGGGGCTGGAGCGCCGCCCGCGCGCAGGTGTGAGCCCGCGGGCCCCGCGCGCCGGTGCCGGCAGGTGCTGCCTGGCGGTCGCCTCCCAGCGCCGCGGCGCCTGTGCCGACAGGGCTCCCTGAAGCCCCGCGGGCTGCGGGAGGTGTGGGGCGGACTCGCCGGGCCGGGCCGGCCTGGGCTTCCTGCGGCGGGGCACCGGGGATGCCTGCCCGTCGGGGCGCGCCCCCCGGCAGCCTGGCGGGAGTGGCCGGTGGGGAGAGACGCCCGAACCCAGCGGGACGCCTCCTCACTCGTTGCCACCCCTGCTGGGCTCAGCTGAGCCTCAGGGTGCCTTCGACTTGAGAAACCGGGGAGTGGAATTGGGCCGAGGCCGAACCGAGCGTTCAGCGGGCGAAACGGGGAGAGAGACGTCTTCGTCCCTATCCCGGAGTTGGAGGATCGGGATAAAGTTACTCCGAGGAATGACTCAGCCTCCGCCCGCCCCACGGATGGATTCGGGATGGAGTATGTATGTATGCGGGTTTCACAACTTCCTCGGTAGCAGCAGAACCGCAGGAGAAACGGCAGCTTCTCGGAATATCGTTACGGTTCCTTCCACGGCCTGCCGGATGCGCTTTGTTTATTATTGATAGTTTCACAATCTCGTCTTCTCCGTCGTGACTCTTTCAAGTGTGGTCACACCACCAAGCGATGTGGGCCTGAGTGCCAGGGACGACTAATGCGCTTCCTCTTGGTAGTCACGTTACTACAGGACATCAAGCTGGATAGGAATGCTCGCCTGACGTCTGCAACGTGTCTGTATCGCTAACCACTTGATCGCATAGTTTCCTGTGTGTGTGTGTGTGTGTGTGTGTGTGTGTGTGGTGCTTGAATGGTTCATCCCAAGGATTGGAAGGTTAGCAATTGAGGCAACTATTTTTAATTTAGCAAGACGAGTCTGGGTTTATTGGAGAATCTCATTATTGTATTTCGCTATTTGATACAAAAAGGGTCCCCCTTCCAATGCTGATATTAGTATGAGAAGCAGAAGGACCACCGGGGAAGGTGGTTGATGTAATTTTTGAGAGGTTATTTGATCTGTAAGTGGACCATTGCTAAGGATGTGAAGATACTTTGCTTTCTGTTATTTAATGTGACAGAATGTGGCCTGAACGAACATATTTTCTCAGAAATGCTTATGTCATGATTTTATGTTAGTGTTTGCATAGTGTTGTGTTTTTGTTGTTGTTGTTGATTTTTTTGGTTAATCCTCACCTGAGGATATTTTTTCCGTTGATTGTTTAGGCCCTAAACTTTAGGGGAAGGGAGGAGGAGAGATGGAGAGAGAGAGAAGCGTGGATGTGAGAGAGAGACATTGATTGGTTGCCTCCTGCAAGGCTGGCCAGGGCCGGGGATTGAGCTTGCAACACCCGCAACTGAGGCAAGTGCTCTTAACAGGAATCGAACCCAGGACTGCAGGCCCACTCTCTATCCACTGAGCCAAACCAGCTAGGGCTACATAGTGTTTTAAAACCTAGATGCTGATAAATGTTTGTTAATAAATATCTGTTGATGGAAATTGGATATGAACTCAGACCACTTTTTAAAAGTAATTTTATTTAGCCTACTTTGAATCTTTTATGTTAGTTTACATTAGGATTAGTTATTGGCCTAATTCTTTTTTTTAAATTTAATTTTAAAAATCTTTATTGTTGAAAGTACTATATATGTCCCCCCTACCCCCCCATTGACCCCTTCCAGCCCCCCCCCCCCCAAGGCCTTCACCACCCTATTGTCTGTGTCCATGGGTTATGCCTATATGTATACAAGGTCTTTGGTTGATTATCTCCCACTCACCCACCCTCCCCTGTCTTCCCTCCGAGATTCCTCACTCAGTTCCATGCTTCCATGTCTCTGGATCCACTCGTTCATCAGTTTATTTTGTTAATTAGATTCCACATACAAGAGAGATCATGTGATACTTGTCTTTCTCTGACTTAATTTCACTTAGCATGATACTCTCCAGGTCCCTCCATTCTTTTTTACTGCTGCGTAGTACTCATGGTGTAAATGTACCACAGCTTTTTTATCCACTCATCTACTGATGGACACTTGGGCTGTTTCCAGATCTTAGCTATTGCAAATTGTGCTGCTATGAACATAGGGGTGCATATATTCTTTCTGATTGGTGTTTTGGGTTTCTTAGGATATATATTCCTAGAAGTGGGATCACTGGGTCAAATGGCAGTTCCATATTTAATTTTTTGAGGAAACTCCATACTGTTTTCCATAACAGCTACACCAGTCTGCATTCCCACCAGCAGTGTATTAGGGTTCCCTTTTCTCCACATCCTTGCCAGCACTTGTCATTTGTTGGTTTGTTGATGGTAGCCATTCTGATGGGTGTGAGGTGATACTTCATTGTTGTTTTTTATTTGCATCTCTCTATTGGCCTAATTCTTATGGTGTTATTGGATAATAGGAAAGGCAATGGAGGTAGTATTCTTGTCTTTTGAGAAAATTTTTCTGACCCTTGCTAACTAGCACAAAGTTGGAATGCCTGGCAGGTTGACTTTTTAGTAAATCAAATTTATACAGTCCAAAAGGGCAGAGGACACAAGACCTTTGTTCTTGAAAAGCCACACTTGAACCTGAACGGTTATTATGTAAGCTTGAGAAGAGCTTTATTTGGCTTCTGAGTTTGAGAATTTCGCGCATTCAGCCAGTGTTGAAGCACCTGCTAGATGCTTTACATTGCAAATGTGTATAACTTATTAATGTTTTCTTTTTAAAGGAATGGTTAGTAAAATTTTCTCATTTAGGTAATACTATTCTCTAACCCCAATTAAGCTTTCCTTGTGTATTACAGAAAATACTGGTTTAAAAAACTCGTGAAAAATCTAGCAGTTCCTTTCCACACACATTCATTCCTACAGTTATTTACTTACCACAGACCATTGAACCAGTTACTGTGAGAAATATAAGAATGTGTAAGAAAGTATTCTTATCTAATAAAAGAAAATTGGAGCTGTGTATAAAAATAATTATAATTGAGCATTCTTGGAAATTTGAAGAAAATATACTGAAGGCATTTGGGCTTTTACCAAGTAGGGTAGTTCTAGGACAGTGATGGTGAACGTTTTGAGCTCGGCGTGTCAGCATTGTGAAAAACCCTAACTTAACGCTGGTGCTGTGTCACATATAGACATTTTTTGATATTTGCAACCATAGTAAAACAAAGACATATTTTTGATATTTATGTTATATATTTAAATGCCATTTAACAAAGAAAAATCAACAAAAAAAATGAGTTCGCGTGTCACCTCTGACATGCGTGTCATAGGTTCACCATCACTGTTCTAGAAGAAGAAAAAGAATGATAGGACATGGATAAGTCACTCTTTTTATTTTTTAATTAATTTTTTTTATTGTTGAGAATATTACAGGTGTCCGTCCCCCCCCCACCCCCATTCCCTCCTCCACCCGTTTGGTCAGTAATTATTCAGACTATCTGTTGAAATTATATATATATATGTATATATATATGGCATACAGTACGAACATGAAGAATTAAAAAACCAGAATTCACACTTAAAGGTAGCGTCACAATTTGAAATTGCTATCTTTTAACAATTATACCATACACAGCTTTGGGGGTCATACCCCAATTGATTATAGTAATGTAGGAAAAATAGCTGTGAGTTCCTTACTTGGTATACTTTGAAGGTAGGAGAGATATTTTGTAGTAGACTTGACTTAAATTCATTTTAATGGTTCTTTTGAGTCTTTGTTAAGCAGAAGCTGTCAAATGATATGATATACATGAAAAAAATGAAACAATAATACTAATTCAAAATGACAAAGTCTGATGATATTCTCAATTGGGATAACTTTTTTCAGATTGCTTACTTACTAACATTTCCAAATTTAAATGATCTTTGTTGAGCATTATACATAATTTTATGAATGTCAGACACCACTCCAAATAAGTTGTATAGTGGTATGTATGATGTTATTTCACTTTTACAAAACCAACTGTCTGTGTATACACAAGTATTTCCTGTATACATAGGAAAAAACTCTGAAGGACACACCTAAACTATTAAAAAGTATTCCTGTTATTGCCATTCTTTTAGTGCTGTTCTTATATGAAGATATTTGTTTAGTTGTAGGCAAGATATTCATTTATCAGGCTCTGAATCTCTATGGAAAGAGATTTTGGGGAATACTCTAAGATTGAATGTGTTGCCCAGCCAATATGGGTTGTGGGCTCGATCCCCAGTAGGGGGCGTGCAGGAGGCAGCCAATCAGTGATTCTCTCTCATCATTGATGCTTCTTTCTCTCTCCCTCTCTGATGCTTTTTTCTCTTTCCCTCTTCCTTCCTCTCTGAAATCAATAAAAAAGACAGAATGTGTTCAGTTTGGGGTGTCAGAAAATGTCACTGGGAATTTTTCCCTTTGTTCTCCCCATATAAAGAAGCTAATTCTAAAATTTGAATAGGTCAGACTATCTCACAGTAAGCTGGAATGACCTACCTTATCATTATGGTGGTAATCTCTCGAAGAGGAATTGTAAATTATTCTCCAATTAGTAAATTGGTTAGAGCGGTTTTTTTTTAGTTTTTTTTTTATGAGCATAAGAGATGCTTTCTTGTTCTTTTCCTTATGCCCAGTTGCAACCCCTGTATATTTGGGAATCAATGCATTGGAATCAGTATTTTAAAACATACTTATTTTAAACATTCATATTTTAAAACATAATCCCCCCCCCCCCCCCCCCATTTATAGCTGACTATATCCCAGAGGGATCCTTGAGGAACAAATGTCCTTTTGTTATTGGAAGATTGCATGGGTGGGATTTCTCCATTGCTAGTGGAGTGGGTTGTCCCTTTCCCACTGGGAGCTGGAGGTCTGGTTCTTGTATCTTGAGAAAGAATTTTCCAAGACTTGCGTGGGAGAATGAGATGTGGTGGAAAGGTGTATTTGTGCGAAATTATATCCCTCAGTTTCCAAAGTTCCATATCCCTTAAATCAGTCCTGGGAAATGTGCAGCTGCGGCTTCAGCAGAGCTAGGAGCAAAGCCACTGTCCAGAGTTTCTGTTCCTTGGTGAGATTGAGTCAGGTCCCACATGGCTGTGGGAGCGTGCCCCCTGCAACAGGAGAGCCAGGAGTGCAAGAGGGCCAAGAGAGCAAACTTCGTTTGTTCAGGAGCTTGTGTATCTCAGGTTTTCTGCCCTTGCAGTGCCCATGTCTGTTCTGGCCAATGTCCTGTTCCCAGGTGTGGCTAACAGGTAATCACCTTTTCTATATCACCTAGACCTCACTGGGCATGCGTCTATTGTCCCGTCTCTTCCTCCAGCAATCTGAGGAGAACATACCAGGAGAGTGTTAAATTGCAGCTTTCTGGCAAAAAGCTGTACAAATGGCATGCCTATATTATCCGGCCTTCCCTTTGCTCCTTTCCTGTTGATTAATAATCAGGTTATTACATTGGTATCACTTTGATTTGAAAATATCACATAATTGATATTACCTCTGTAGTTAAGAGCTCTGTAAGTTCAGAAGTGGGGAAAAGAACACTGTGGGCCACCACCTGTGATTAGGGAAGACTTCCCAGAAGTGCTAATAGGACCGTACTTAGGACCATTCTTGGATGAGTAAAATTTAGATAAGTAGAAATGGGGGAGATTTTATCTGGCAGGATTTTGTAAAGTAAGAGTATAGGTTTTTTGTAGTGGAGTAGTTGGAGATAACTTCTAGAAAAATACACTGGGGTTAATTATTAAGTCCTTGAATGTTGGAGTTAAAGTTATAATTGCTACCATCTTTAAAGTGTTTATCTTTGCATTGTGAACGAATCTGAAGTACATTATTTCTATCCCTCTTATCCATTCTGTAAAAGGTAATATTTCAGTTTATAGATGGTGAACTGTTGTGTAAAGGTTATCTAAGCCTCATTGGGAGAGATGAGATTAGACTTGCCCCCAAATCTGCCATTGTAATGCTAATCTAGTTTTATGCCAGAGATGGCAAATTTACTTGTTTCAAGGGGCAAGCAGATAATGAAATTAAGTGAAACCACCTGGCTACTGAACTGAGGTCAGAAGAGATAGCTGCAAAGAAACAATAGAGCAGGGAACACCATTGGTTGGTGGCTCTTGTGGGCAACAGTGAGGCTCTAGAGAAGATACTTGAGGAGGAAGCAGCCTGACTGCCGTGGTGGTAACTGGTAGAAGTGTTCAGGAAGGGCTGGAGAAGGCTGGAGACTTACAGGCATTTGCAGGCTCTAAAATAAGGATAATGTCACTTGAAAATGAGGGGTTGGATTATGAAGGAAAAAAATGGATAGGATTTAAATAGAAATAACAAGTTTTGAGTAAAAAGAGAGTGATAGGTTTTGTTGACGAAAGAAGTTAGGGAATAGTTTTAAAGGAAAAGCACTGAATTGAGATTGGGACATGATGAGTTTGAAGTAACAGAATGACTTCTACTTTGAGATACTTAACATAAGCTGAGTTCAGGACACTGATCTGGATTAGTTAATAATAGTAACTGATGTTTGTATTGCACTTTAGTTTGCATCGCTCTTCCATATATGTGTAGATGTTTCTTTACTTCCTCACAATAACCTTATGAGATACAGATAATTTCTTTCCATTTTGTAATCAAAGTAATTTGTTAAATAAGGCCAGTCAGGGTCGCAAAGTCAATAGTGGGGACAGGACTTGAATTAACAGATCTTCTGATTCCAAAACTCATTCTATTCTCTATTTTATGTATACATGAAGATAACAATTGGATTCCTGGCCAGGCTCATTTGGATGGAGTGCCATCCTTTACACTGGAAGGTCGTGGGTTCAATCCCTGGACAGGGCACATATCCAGGTTGTGGGTTTCCATCCCTGGTCCAGGCCCACATGGGAGGCAACTGATGTTTCTCTATCCCTTTCCCTCCCATCTCTCTAAAATCAATAAATACATATCCTCAGGTGAGGATTAAAGGAAAAGATAACAATTGGAGAACTAAATATAAATGACTAGTGAAGACAAGTAGAGTGGGGAGGCAGATCTCCCCTGGGACATCACATTGGAGGCCAGAATGGGGACTGCAGATGAGGATAATTGTCTTGCTCTCTGAGTTGGATCTACTCTTCTAGGGCAGCATGTTCAGGCTCTATTTCTTTAATATTTTTTAAATATATCTTTACTGATTTCAGAGATGAAGAGAGAGGGAGAGAGATAGAAACATCAGTGATGAGAGAGAATCATTGATTGGCTGCCTCCTGCATGCTCCACTGGGGATCGGGCCTGCAACCCGGGCATGTGCCCTTGACTGGAATTGAACCCGCAGGGTAACGCTCTATCCACTGAGCCAAACCGGCCAGGGCGAGCTGTTTCTTGTAGTCAACATCAGATGAAGAGATTGGTGTTTGTTTGAATGAATGCACACAGTAGCTGCTACAGCTTATCAGTTTCCTTCATTTACTATAAGTATTGTGGAACGGGAATGGCACTTAGGTCATTTTTACTCTTTAATAATTCCTAAAGCCTCTGTTGGATTGAGAGCATTATTGCCACAGACCACAAAAAGAAAAAGATTGATAGACTGTTCCAGAATGAAGGAGAGTGAAAAATTTTACAACTAAATGCAATATGTGATCCTGAATTGGTCTCTGGATAGGGTGGAACGCTGTAAAAGATATTATTGGAGTAATAATTTGCATATGGACTATGGATCCTATATAATAAAAGCATAATATGCTAATCGACCGAACGGTGACCATCCAGACGACCATCCAGGACCACACTATGACACCCACTGGCGCCAGGCGAGCCAAGGTGGATGCGATGCGATTGGTCAGGGCCCGGACATCACCCCACAGAGGGAGGCCCAGGCCACCGACCAGTGGGCTGTGGCAGGTGGGTGAGGCCTCTCTCTGCGAGGGAAGCCCAGTTCCTGGGTGCTGGAGGCCGGAAGGAAGCCTGGGTGCCGGCGACTGGAGGGAAGCCCGGGCCCCAGGTACCAGAGGGAAGCCGGTGCCAGCAGCCGTGGGGAGGAAGGCCTACTCTTGCACGAATTTCGTGCATCGGGCCTCTAGTTAGATAATAATATTGCATCACTGTTAAATTTAATGATTGGATAATGTACTTTGGTTATATGAGAAAATTCTGGCTGTTAGCAAACACATATTCCAAGTATTTATGGTTAAAGAGACATCTGTCTGCAAATTGCTTTCAAGTAGTTCATGGGAAATATGTAGATGTATGGGGCATGAAGTGGCTGAAATGATAAAGCAAATGATGCACAATGTACATGGTGGTGAATCTGGGTAGAAGGTATTAGGAGTTCTTTGTACTATTATAACTTTCCTCTAAGTGTGAAATTATATCAAGGCAAGAAAGGTAAACTATTTAAAAGGAAACAAGAAAACACTTAGAATAATACAGTGATTATGAAATGTTTAGTATTACAGAAATGTTGTGCCTTCTTGTAACAGGTCTTTTCTCATCCCCTATGACTGCATTTGGATATAACCCACATAGTCTATTTTGATCACCCAAATCTAAAGGACCTCCTTCATGCCCACTCTTCTTTCATTGCATTTATTACATCTTTTTTTTTTTTTAAATGCCTTTTTCTCCTTCAAGTCTGAACTCCATCAGGGCAAAGATCATGTCTATTTTGTTCACAGAATACCCAGTCCTGGGACATAAGCTCAATAAGTGTTTGTTGGATTTGGATGAATGAATTAGTCAGTCACCAGTGTTCCTTCCATGTTAGTTACCAACCATCCTTTTATTTGCCTAATCCTTCAGAAAAAAAGATGACTCCTTTTAACCAATCTATTTAATCCTTCACTCATCAAGCCTTTATTGAGTACAGTCATGTGATTCCTGCTTATCTGGCTAGCTTCCTCTCTTGCCAGCTTCTCTCAGATCTGCATGCCCTTTCTGGTGATGCACCCTCTGGCTACTCTTTTTTTGTTTTGTTTTTTTAATATATTCCATTGACCTTCTACAGAGAGGGAGAGGGACAGAGAGCTAGAAACATTTGATGAGAGAGAAACATCCATCAGCTGCCTCCCGCACACCCCTCACTGGGGACGTGCCCGCAACCTAGGCACATGCCCCCGACCAGAATTGAACCTGGGACCCCTCAGTCCACAGGCCGATGCTCTATCCACCGAGCCAAACCGGTCAGGGCCCCTCTGGCTACTCTTGTCAGTACAAGTGCCTTGTATATTTTCCTGTCACACTCTGTACACTTCTTAGAAAGTATCATGTATATATATCCCTACTTTTCCTGACTGCAGATATCACAACTTCCCCCCATTATTTTTATATTTTTAGTTCCTAGCACATGAATGTACAAATTGTGTTTATTCAATACATTTTATTGAGTGCTTGTATTAGGCATCGTGTTGGGTGCTGTATATATATTGTCCTCTTTAATTTATAAGCTAACCCTGTAAGATAGGGACTTCATTCTTCCTGGTAATTGGAGTTCATAGCAGTCCTGGGACTATTAATCATATATACTACTAGAGCCCTGGTGCATGAAATTCATGCACTGGAATGGGAAGGGGGAGTTTCCTCAGCCCAGCCTGCGCCCTCTCATAGTCCAGGACATCCTTGTCCTCACTGCCCGCCTGCTCACTGCTCCTTACCGCTCAGCTCGCTGCTCCTGCCACCACCGCTGCACTCGCCAGCCATGAGCCTGGCTTTTGGCTGAGTGGCGCTCCCCCTGTGGGAGTGCACTGACCACCAGGGGGCAGCTCCTGCATTGAGCATCTGCCCCCTGGTGGTCAGTGCGCATCATAGTAGTGACCGGTCGTTCTGCCGTTAGGTTGATTTGCAAATTAGGCTTTTGTTATATAGGATTATATTTTATCTCTACTAGAGTGCATGATACACAGCAGGCAGTCTGGGAATGAATAAAGTTACAACTCAGTAATAATCAAAGACAGTGTTTAAATACAAAATAAATATTAGCAAACAAGTAAAAATATGATATTAAAAGGATGTAGTCAACTGGTTGACCAAATATATTGCCTGAGGAGTATAAATTGGTAAAGGAATCAATCTCCTAATAGCCTTAAAATATTTGGATTTTTTTAATCCAGCAGTTTAACTCCTATGAATCTACTTTATGAGAATAATCCTATCTAATAAAAGAGAAACATGGTAATTAGCGTACATCCGCTACCCTTCCCATTGGCTAATCAGCAAGATATGCAAATTAACTGCCAGCCAAGATGGCGGCTGGCAGCCAGGCAGCTTGAAACTAACATGAGGCTTGCTTGCTTCAGTGACAGAGGAAACCAACGTTCCCTGCCTGCCTTGACGGCCTCTGAGCTTGCAGTTTGAAACATTGTAACAAATATAGAAGCTAAACTAAACCCCAGAAACCTGCTTTCAGCGAGCCGGC